CGAGAGAGATACTCTCGGAGGCCGCGTTTTCGCAGTACCCACCTGGTTCGGTGTAGTTGATGCTGCACGAGCAACGGCGCTGAAACGCGACCGCGGGGGGCTGAGAGGGCGGAGCGCATGGGTGTGCAACTCCGGCCAGCTTTTCGTAGAGCCTGCGCTCGTCCGGAGGCGCACTCGCCGCCCCAGCAACCTCCACCTGGTCTGTTGACGAGGCGTCCACCGCTGTTGCGCCGGCCGGGAAGGGAAGCATCGGCAGCTTTGCTTCATGGAAGCGCGAGAAGGCAAACTCCGTCGCCAGCGGACCCGGGAGCTCGTACATGGCCGCGTTGCCCTCGATTGCGCCCTCCGCCATCGCCGACGTGCGGAAGCGCCCCTCTGAGGGGTAGAGGTCGCGTTTCCCGTCCCGCGCCGTACGCCAAGCAAAGGACTGCCCGACCAGGCCGTGGGTTTGGGCCAGCGCCGCCTCGTCCCCATGCGCGTGCAGCGACACGTCGAGCCGGTGCCTCGGGCCGCTGATATGACCCCAGACTGGCGCGGCGGCCACCTTGATCACCCAGCCTGGGATCCTGAACCTGGCGCTCGAGAACCTCACGAGAATCTCCATCTCCTCGCACTTCTTGTACCCGCCCGTGCCGAGGAAAAACTGGCCGCGGTCGCCGCACGTGCCGTTGATCATGTTGGGTCCCGTCGTGAACTCGTTCAGCTCGGAAGTCCAAAAGCTTGCCGTCGCCAGCTTGTGCTTCTCCCCGCCAACCAGCACCACGGCGTGCACCTCCGTGATGTAGGAGCCGTCGACCGTGAGCGCATCCCGGTACGTCTTGAACTGGGCCTCCTCGGTGCGCACGTTTATCTGGAGGCCGGGTGTTGACAGGAAAGCATAGTACACGCCATTCCGACCGCGGAAGTCGGCACGGCCGCCGCGAGCGAATGCCAGGTGCGGGTCCTTTTTCACGTTGGCGCATTGGCTGGCGACGCGAGCGAGTAGGCCGAGGGCGCAGATGGCAAGGACAACGCGCGCCCACGACGTTCGCGCGCGGTTTTTCATGCTGACGCCGCGAACCCACTGCGTCTGGGCGCAATCACTGAGGCATTGCAGGGGAACTCGGCGACGCGCCGCCGATTGTTTGACGCAGTTCGCCGTCGGGACTTGCAACTGCACGCATTCTCCCACAAATTAAAACGGAATTGCGGATTTAAAATCCACGCTGCGAGGGCTTAATTAACTTGAGCACTTGAGCACTTGATAGGGTCGATTCCGCATGGTACGGGACCCCTCGATCGGGGCCGTGGGGGGCGGGGAGGAGGCGAAAGAGGCGGCAGCAACGCTGCAAGTGCTACACGAGCTTGCGGGAGAGGCCCCGGAGGAGGCCGTCCCCGACGGAGCGGTGCCGGCCGCCCTCCCCCGGTTCCTGCGACTAGTGGGAATGGCGGAGGCGGAGATGGCGGGTGCGCTGCTCGGGATGGAGGGAGGCGCCCTGAGGATGGTGGCCCGGGTGGCCAGGCAGCGGGCGATACAAGTGACGCGCCACTGGCAAGCGGTGGGGATCCCTCTCGAGTCGCTCGGGATGGAGCGCTTCCCCACGCTAGCCGCCTGTCATGGGTGCGGCGGTAAATTTCGCACACTGTTCCACGTCAAGCCGGAAGACGGACCTGCGGCTACGGGAGTGGCTGAAGAGGTGGTTAGCGCCATCCTGGAACGGATCTCGGAGCGGGTGAGCACAGCTTTAAGGAATCGGCGGCCCAGCAGCCCTTCAAACGGCCCGTTTTAAGCCGTATAAGCCGCAGGCGCCCCAGGGGCCCCCCACCCGTTAAGCCTAGGGGGCCGCGCATAAGACAGACCTCCACTGAATAGGTAGGTTAACCCCTAAACGGCGTTCCTTTACATATGTAAAGCAACTGCTTGTTATTTTATTCCTTTGCAGGACGGCTGGTCGGAGCGACGGCCGATCCAGCAGTCGTCTGCGACATGGTAGTGGCCCCGGGTCATGTGCAGCTGGTCCCGAGCGGCTCAGGTCCCAGATCGAATCTCGGACCCACAGATTCTAGATTCCTTTAGATTCCCTGGATTCCCGCAACAACGATCTCTTAGCGGCGGCAAACAGAGGCGCAACTCTGCCAGCAGCGAGGAGGCTCCTGCTGCTCAGCTACCGAGGCCTGGTGGCGTCGGCTGCTGCGTGGAGAAGACAGCAGCACTGTCCGACCTCAAAACATGCACAACAAGCGGGAGTTGTGACTCTGTCTTCGATTCTTCAGTCGCTCTGCCGGACGCGCTCGCTTTGTCGCGAGGGTCACCTGTGCAAGCCGTGTGGACGCCCAGAATAGCCTCCCCTGGCTTAGCTAGACTGAGAGATATTGTGCACATGGTCAGCCTCTACAATATATACGCTGACACTTTACCTCCCAGAGCTCGTCTCGGTCCGCCACGGCCATCCTCAGCCTCCGGAGGGCCCCTGGCCGCGGCGCGGTGCGGCGGCGTCACAAATCCGACGTCAGTTCACCGGGACGCGATCGGGCGATCTGAAGTCCAACTAGGCGTATGGATTGCCCGCCCAGGGCTATCACCTGGACCCCTCAATGGACGCCTGCGGTGCCGCCCCCACGAGGTGTTGTTCACACCTGTCCAACCATTCGTGCAGCAGGGACGCGCTGTGTGTGGCTGGCAGCAAACTCAAATGACGACGGGTTGCAGCCTCGTAGCTCAACGGCAACATTGTGCATGAGGAAGGCTGATAGAAGTAGCACCAGCCACACAAACAACAGCTTCTGGAGAGTATGCGGAGCGCAAGCAGCCGGTGATCAAAGGCGTGTGTTGCTGTCGGTGGCAGATTGCCACAGGGACGCCGGCGCTTCGGTGCGTGGCTTCGTCACAATTTTCCACCGCTCAACTTGGAGGCAGTGTGTCTAGTAGCGTGCTACACCTATGACGGCGGACCTCACTGGGGCGCCGACGTGCGACGACCGTCTGGGATCGAAAGACGAAACCGCGTCCTCCAGGAGCTCGTGCAGTCTGCAGAGCGCGCTCCGGAGCTCTTTGGCGGAAAATTTAAAGGGAACGTGGTGGCTTCCCACCGCCTCTGTATGTGCCCAATAAAGTGCTAACACGACCCTCGGGCAGCAGGGGGTATGTGGCGAGCGCACGGAGGCACAGTTAGGCCGCCGTGATATCGCCCTTCCGGGCACCCCGTTTCGGTAGCCGTTTAGGGGTTAAGGGGCTCTGACCGGCATGCAGTGCGGTCGCCAAAGTGAGCTCGCCGCGGACGCGAGTAGCGGTCGCCACCCCCCACGCGAGTGCGGTCGGTCCGCCAAAGTGAGCGAGTATCTGTAAGCGCGGCTAAACTGGGCTGGCCCACAAGCTGCCCACAAGGCGGCCCGTCCCGGCTCGACACATAGGTAGGTAGCTCGATCGGTCACACCGCCATCGCCGTCGGGGAGAGGGGGGACGACACTGCTTCGGCAGCGTGCACCTCGATCCTGTACCGTGTTTGTTATGACCCCCCCCGATGAACACATCAGTGAGGGAGGGCGAGACGATCGAGGGGTCCCGTACCACGCGGAATCGGCCCTATCCAGTGCTCAAGTGCTCAAGGTAGAGGCGGGCCGCCACCGCCCCGCGACGGCTCCAGATAGGTAGGTGCGTACGTACGAGGTAGAGGCAGACCGCCCCTACCCTGGAGCCCGAACCCATCACACTGTTTGCCACCGCGACGGCGAGCCGCCGCGGGTAGGGTGCCCACAGGACCCAAAAGAAAATAGCTTTCCGACTCAAAAAGGGACGCACGAGGCAAATCTGATGTTGGCCAGTTCCAATAGGAGCGAGGCCTCTTCCGTTGGGGGACCGAGTTCATAGGAAACGAGGGTTTCCCATTGTGTCCCGCTCCAGCGCGAGCGTGACACTGCACTTGGCGCCGAGCGCCCGCGGCTCAGACCTTGTGCAGGCCACCCCTCATTGGGCACGCCGGTCTGGACCGATGGCGCTCGGTGTGGAGCAAGCAAGACCCCCCCCCCCCCCCATCGGCGCGCGCTCGCCATTCCAACGGCCGCCAGGAGCACCAAGAGGACTCCTCATGGCTGTGCCCAAGTGGGCTTCGACCGGCCTCGGCTGGGGGGGCGGGTTGTCCCGGCTGCGGACGCCTTCTGCAGCCCCCTGGGATGGGGACAGCACCCAAAAACTGCCCCCGGCGGCATACAGCACTGCCAGCCAGCCTCTTCCTCCTCCTCAAGGGCTGTACTATAGGCCATATTGCGCGGCCTCCTACTGGCAGCCGGGCGGGCGCGCGCCGCGGGCGCCTCGGCGCGCGCACGGCTCGCAACATTCGAACGAGTACTGCCGCCCGGCCGCCTCAAGGCTGCCGGGCGGCAGTACTCGCCTCGCAAGGCGCGCACCGGCTGGTCTGGCTGCTGCGCCGGCGGCCGCTGCGCTGGCCGCTGCTGCGCCGGCTGGCGGGCGGTACGGCCGCCGCCGGCCGCTGCACCCGCGCCTTCCCTCGCGGGCGCCGTCGCGCCGCGCGCGCCCAACCCTGCTGGCACACGGCACGCGTCGTCACACAGCCGCGGAGAACAGGCGGTGCAGCGCGCGAAGCGCGCGCGATCTCGTACTTTTAAGGCTGGATCCGGCCATTCCAAGGGTATACCTTTGAGAATCCCTAGCGTCCCTCCCTCCTAGTCACAATCTCAATTTCTCGACTGGCCAACACGACGTGCTGCGATCGGGGGTGGCCCATTTCTTTTTTCCTTTCTTTTTTTGGGCCCTGTGGGCACCCTACCGCGGGCCCACAGGAGGGCTCGGAGCCGCGGCACCGGCCCGCGCCGCCAGCGGGGCGAGAGCACCAGCCTACAACCTGCCGACATGGCAGTTGCGACGGCGCTTTCACACACACACACACACACACACCTTGGTGCCCACTGGCACAATCACAGAAAGAAGAAAAATCAGCCCCTCCTCTAGCTGCAGGAACGCCCCCCTCTCTACTCTGTCGCTCCGTGTCGCTCCAGGTCATCCCATGCTGGCGGCGGCGCCGACCGACGAGACACCCATGCTAACCTTCATCGTCACCAAGCCCGGCCAGCGGCTAAGCGTCACGCTGCCGCAGGATGCGACGCTCCTGGCGCTGCACGAGGCGGTGGCGACGGAGGCTGATCTTGTTCCGGGAACGTTTGAGCTTTGCGAATCGGCCCGCGATGATGGCACCGAGGTTGCGCATCGCCTTGACGACACCGGCGCCTACACCACCACGCTGCTGCAGGCGAGCTTCAGGCACAAGCAGCGATTGCTGCTCCGAGGAGTGGATGGATGCACGCCTGTGCCGCAGTCAGACTCGCGCTCAAGCGCAGCCGCCCAGGCGCTGGGCACAGTTGCGCTGTGGAACTCCTCCCAGAGCTCTCCCATCGCAGGCCTGTCGCAGGGACTGGCGGCTCTCGGCTCGGGCGCAGGCTGCACCGCGCCTCCGAATGCCGAGGGCTTTGTCGGCCTGGTCAACCAAGGCGCCACGTGCTACCTCTCCTCGCTGCTGCAGTCTCTGTACATGACACCCGAGTTCCGCCGGATCGTCTACCAGTGGCGCCCGCGCGGGGAGCCAACTGCAGCGGGCGAGGGCGAGAGAGGCGAGGACAGTAGCGCAGCGGGCTCGAGCAGCATCACCGCGCAGCTGCAGAGGCTCTTTGTGGCGATGCAAGACGGGCAGGCGACGAATGCGTCCCTGGCCGAGGCGGAAGCTGCTGCGGGCGCGGCCGACGCGGGCGCGGCAGGCGAAGGTAAGTTGCGCGCGGGCGGCTGCGGCTCGGTGCGAGCGATAGACACGCGGGAGCTGACGCAGTCGTTTGGGTGGGGCGCCGCGGATTCCTTCACGCAACACGACGTGCAGGAGCTGCTGCGCGTGCTCTTCGACGCGCTCGAGGCGGAGCTCGTCGGCACGGCGCAGGAGGGCGCCCTCGCCGAGCTCTACGGCGGCGAGTGGGAGGAGTTCGTGCAGTGCCGCGCCTGCCTGCGCGAGTCCGCGCGCGCCTCCGCCTTTCACGAGCTCTCCTTGCCGGTGCGCACCTTCCAGTCGCCGCCGGTGAAGCTCGACTCGCTCGGCGGCTAATTAACTAATTATTATTAATTAGGTAATTATTAATTATTAATTAGGTGAAGCTCGACTCGCTCGGCGGCTGCCTCGACGTGCGCTGCTCGCGCCGCGAGGACACGCGTCCATGACATGCCCGCGGCACGTCTGCAGGCGGCTGCCTCGACCACTTGCTCGAGCCCGAGGAGCTGAGCGGAGACAACGCATACCACTGCGACCATTGCGGCGGCAAGCGGGACGCGCTCAAGGGCTGCCGGCTCTGCAGGCTGCCGCCCATCCTCACCGTGTCGCTCAAGCGGTTCGACTTCGACCTCGCCACCCTCCGCCGCGTCAAGATCGACCATTTGGTCCGCCTCCCCCACGCCCTCCGGCCAGCACGCTACCTCGACGCCACCGCGCCGCCACGCAAGCGGAAGCTCTCCGAGAACTCGAGCGGCGCGCCGTCTGGCGCCGCGAGCCCAGAGGCGGGGGCGGAGGCGGGGGCGGAGGCGGAGGTGGCGGGCGGCGACGGCGACGCGGGAGGCGATGGCGACAACGGCAGCGGTGGCGGTGGCGGCAATGGCGATGGCGGTAATGGCGACGACGGCGACGGCGGCGGCGACGGCGGCGACGGCGTGTACGAGCTGCTCGCGATCCTGATGCACCGCGGCTCGGCGCAGGCCGGGCACTACTTCGCCTATGTGCGAAACCTTGAGCGGCGCTCGTGGCTGCGGTTCGACGACTCGACGGTCACGCCGCTCGATGAGGCCGACTTGGCGGCTGCAACCACTGACGATGCGATCGCCCACCGCGGCGGTTTCGGCGCGTCTGCCTACATGTGCCTTTACCGGCGCGTGCCTGACAGCGGCGACGACACCTTTCCGAGCGTGCCGCCTCAGCTCCGTGAGTTCCTCGCGGCGCTTCCCCCGCCGCAGACGGTCGTCGCTGCCGCACCGCAGACGGGTGCGGAGCGGGGCGTCCGCATTCGCGCTGCCGCTGGGCTTGCACCGGTGTCACCGCTAGAAGAGGTGGGAGGTGGCGCGGGAGAGGAGGCCGACGCACCGATGATAACTGCGAGCGCAGAGGTGACGGGGACGGTGCACGAGGAGGAGGTGGTCTAGCGAGGGGGGGGGGGGGGGGGGCGGGGCGGGACAATACGGAGAGAGGAGGCACGAGAGGGGGGGCACTCCGCTCGAGCTTTCTGACTCTGTCCACAGCGATGAGTGTGTAGAGAGCCAGTGGCCCTGGGGCCTGGCCGAGAGGTGTGAGGTGCCTGCTTATAATGGCTTCCAGTATCTCGGACCTTCGAGACATCGTTCATCGATTTATTTTTTTGCGTTTTCCGTTTTGGCCGGTGGCCTCTCGTCTTCTCTGAGAGGTAGGAGTCGGTGGAACGGGATGATAGTACTAATTAGTATATAGGGAGTAGAGAAGTTTCAGAAGAGAAAGCAAAGAGGCCCTGGGTGTGCGGTTGATAAAACTGCACTCCAAGTGCTCCTAGACCGCCCCCTGCGCGCGCACGCACACGACTCCGCAGGAGAAGCCCCTCCCACCCACCTTTGTGCAGGCAGCGCAGCCCGCTCTTGTACTTACTACCAACCGCAAGGCCCAAACAAAGCAATTGTGCCAAATATCCCTCTAGTCTATCTCTTTGCACACCTCGATCCTGTACCGTGTTTTGTTATGACCCCCCCCCAATGAACACACCAGTGAGGGAGGGCGCGACGATCGAGGGGTCCCGTACCATGCGGAATCGACCCTATCAAGTGCTCAAGCCCCCCCCCAATGAACACACCAGTGAGGGTGGGCGAGACGATCGAGGGGTCCCGTACCATGCGGAACGTGCTCAAGTGCTCAAGTGCTCAAGTGCTCAACACTGAGTAAGCGGAGGAGGGCCGGGATCTCGGATTGAATCTTCGAACTGCTTTGGCCGTAAAAGTTGTCGAGCCGCATCTTGCTTCCAAACTCGGACGGTTCTACACGAACTTTAGGATCGGGCGTCAGTCCACCGTCAGGCGTGTGTGCGCGTGTGTGTAATGGTCGCTTGCGATCCCGCTGTGAGCGCGATCGGGGTTCCCATCGCTGAGCCTGGCATTTGCGTGGACGGACACGCGTGCGTGGTCCACGGAAAGTGCGTGCACACGGCTGTCGCACTCAAGGGAAAGTGCTCCGAAACGGAACTGCGGCAGCTCTCCGACCCGATCATAGTGCTGGCCCTGCCAGCAGCACGATGGGCTGATCTCCCGTACGACCGGCGTCCGTCGCGAGCACACCGCGCAAAGCGCGAAGTTCGCGCGCACGGGAGCAGGAGCCGGCCAAGGCGCCGTGGGTCCAAGGTCTGTGCTCCGCATAAATGCCGTGGCCGCGTGGACAGCTCCTCAGCTGACCCATCTGCCCCGTGCCGCAGGCGTGTCCGCAAAAGATGCTGGAGCCTATTGCTGAGGAGTGCGACGAAAGCGGTCTATCACCTACGCTCCAGTGTACATTTGATCGGATCATCGGAGCATTTTTTGCAGGTGCACCTCCCCTCCCTTCCTCCCGCGCAACTCCCCTCGCCCCCCGCCCCAAAATTCCCTACGCCTCGCAACACACGCCACCTAAGGGTTTACATCTGGACCCCCCCCCCCCTTACGCCTGGCAACACACGCCACCTATGGGTTCACATCTGGACCCGCCCCCCCCCCCCTCTCCCGCGCGATAGCCTCGGAGAGCAAGGCCAGGCTTTGCCTGCAGCCGGTGCCAGCCATCCTGTATGCGGCGCTTATGGAGCCGGAGCCGCCCGTGCCGCCAGCGTCGAGTGAGGACTCTTCGACCGTCGCAAGCCTACGTTGCGCCACCTGGGACTGGATCAGGTCCGGCTGCTGCGGCGCTCATTCTCTGAAAGAATGACCGCAGCGTACATTTCGCTCAAACCCACTGGACTTTTGCGAGATTAGTACTGAGGTGCTCGCTGCCATCTTCTACAATATACGTGTACACACAAGGGACGCCCCTCTTACTCGCTGGGTTCGCCAGACTCAGCCGTGGAGTGAGTGAGATAACTACCAGTAGTGTGTGCGGCTGTGCGCGCACCACACGCCCCCCCCCGCGGCGCACACACTGTTCTCTCAAGCGGCAGCGCGGGCGACGGAAGAAAGAAATGAAACGGAGACCTCACTACACACTGGTAGGGAGACGGGTAAAGGGGAGCTCCCCGAGCGCGCCGCGGGCCCCACACGAAAAAAGCCCAATTAGAGAGAGAGGGGGCGCGTAAGTAAGAGGGAGTACACACACAGAGCTCGGCAAAATCTCTGTCAGGGTTACTGTCTCTACTGTACGACTACGATCTCCCGGTCGAGGCGGGACGAGAGATTTTCAATACCAAACAACTCTAACACTCACGAGCTGTTTTGTCGGGACGAGCGAGGCAAAAGGGGGGGGTGGCTGATAAATAGCTGTAGGCGCGCGCGGGCGGCGGCGGCGCGGGCGGCGAGCGCACGCGCCAGGCAGGGGTGGTGGATGGGGATCGGGAGAAGGGCGGAGCCGAGCGAGGCTTTGGGGAGGGGCAGGGGAGAGAGAGGATATGGGGTGGGTCGGGTCGGGTCGGGTCGGGTCGGGGTGGGGCGGCGGGCGCCGGCGCAGAGGGCGGGGAGTGGAATATAAGGATTTTTTAAATGCGCCCTTGTGCGCGCAGAGAAACCGCGGGGTGACGTTTTTCTTCTTCTTGCTGTCGCCAGCGCGAGGCACAGCTCTCGTCGTCGCCACAGCACTCGCTCGGATCATGCCGAGCCAGCCGACAGAGACGCTCGTGCCGCCCACGAGGCTATCTGCAAGCAAGCTTGAGTACTCGGTGCACCGCCCCTCGCGCCTGCTGCGGCGGGACATCGAGCTCGTCTTCCGGCCGGACCTTGAGGTGCGCGCTGCGCTGTGCCCGGTGCTTCGCGAATGCCTCTGAGACCCCTCCGCGGGCAGGCGGAGTTCCAGCGGCAGCGGCCCGGCGCGAGCAGCGACGCCAAGGACGGCTGGCTACACGAAGTGCTCCTCGCAATACCGACGTGGCAGCCAGCCACACAGGACCTCTCTGAGATCTCCGACCAGGAGCCGCCACGCCGCCGCGTTTGTTCCGCCGGCGCAGCTCGCCCCACCCGCTCTGTACCCACCGCGCAGGTCAACGGCGAGCGGCGCGAGCTGCTCGCAAACTTCACGACGTGGTCGAGTTCGCTGCGCGCGCGGCTCGCGCCGCACTGGACCGATGCGTCCTGCCCGCTGGAGGGATGCGCCAAGTACGGCACTCCAACCTCGGTCATCTACAACGAGCTCGAGGGGCTCACCTCGCTGCTGAAGTACTCGTCGGTCCCTATCGGCTGCTGCGGCATCGTGCTGCACCCAGAGTGGCAGCGCTGCGCCTACCCGGTTACGCTCTTCACCACCGCCCCGCCCGAGCTGCTGCTAGCGGCCATCGCGGAAACAGAGGCTGAGAGGGGAGGGGCGTGACCCCCGGCCTTGTCCTGCCGCCGCCCGCGCGCAGGGCCACACAGTCGACGACGTACGGGCAATATTGAGTCACAGAGAGTGCATTACGCGCATGCACCATGTGGGCCTGTGCGCTGTTGTCCGCCATATACCCGGGTACATGTTTGAGTTGCGTGCGGCAGATAGCTGTCCACCTTCGTATGCGTTGCCGTTGGAGCACGTGGTCGTGGAGTGCAGTCTGGTACGTTTTCCACGGAATTAACCCGTTACCGATTCGCCCCCCCTGTCCCGCCCCCCCGGGGGTCACCCGGGGTGGTGTCGGCAGGTCATGAGCAGACAGACCAGAGGCCTTTCCGATTCCCTGACCGGCCTGAGGACCCTAGAGCCGTAGCTGTGTGCTCAACTTTGGTCTTTGCTCAACTGCGTGACCTGTGTACGGCTTTAATGTGCGCCCTTGACGAGCTCTGTACGTACGTACTTTGAGCTTATACTCTGTAAGCACTTGGAGTGCAGTAAGCGTACGTACTTTTAACCGGAAGATGTGTAACGGACACACACACCACACACACACAAATGGCGGCCGCGGAGCTTGCAGCCGCATTCTCGGCCTTTGACGTCAACGGCGACGGCGTCATCTCGCTGGAGGAGTTTGTTGCCATCCTCACGCGCTCTGGGGAAGCGGGCAACGCACGACCGATGAGGCGGAACGAGGCGGAAGCGCTCTTCCGATCGTTTGATTGTGATGGGAATGGTGTGCTCTCCACGGAGGAATTCATCCGTCCTTGGGCAGTTCACTTGGCACGCAACTCTCTGCTCTCAGCATTGGACGCTGTTGACGCTGCCAACGGCCGCGAAAACCTGATGTGGAAAGCTCAGGCCCGGGTGGCAGTGCAAGCAGAGGCGTTTGCCAAGGCCCTCGTGGATGCACCAGGCGATCTGCCGGCTCCAGGAACTTATGCTAGCGCCGATGTGCTGTACGCTGCGCTTCGACCGCTCGCACCGGACTGCCCCCCTCCTGTTAGACTCCTTCGTTCAAGCTGGATAAAAAAGCGTGCGCGTCAACTGAGGGCGGCAGCCAGTCCTGAGGAGCGGCAGGCACTCGCGATGCCGCGGAGACAGGACCTCGAGCGTACCGATCCCGATGCCTTCATGGACGAAGAGGAGCTGCGAGCTCGTTCCGCGCCCGATCGTACAGGCTCTTTCATCACCAAGAAGCTCGCACTCGGTGCGCTCTCCTACTGCTGGCTCACCGCTGAGCATCCCGACCCCAGGGGCGAGCAGCTCGTTTCGCTGGCTGCTGCGATCGAGGCAGCAGAGGCGGGTGATCAGGCTTTCCCGGGCGAGGCGGCCTTCTTCATTGACTTCGCCTCGCTGCCTCAAAAGGGGCCCGGCGGACGGCGCACTCCCGCAGAGGCGGCTGCCTTTAGCGCGGCCCTAGGCAACATGCAGATATGGTATTCGCACCCTCTGGTGACGGCCTTCATCGCCAGGTCACTCCCCTCCGGCCACGAGAAGGTGCCACGGTACGAGGAGAGGGGATGGACCACTTGTGAGGCTTCCTGGGCGGCGCTCGCCAAGCCAATGTCACACTACTGCTGGGCGCCAATCATCGACGTGCCGCAGCAAGGCGCTGTGCAGGAGTACAGGCGGCCGGCGCCAACAACGCCCGCCGCGCTGGCGCGGTTAGTCGCTGGCAAACGATTCACGTCCAAGAAGTCAGACCTGCCCATGGTCATCGAGCTCAATACTCGGACCATTCTTTCGCTGATGCGCGACACGGAGAAGCTGGAGTTTGCACAGTGCGGCTGGGGCGATGGCGAGATGGAACAACTCCTCGAGGCAGCTTCAGCACCTCCCTCAGTGACAGCCTGCCCCTCGCGCACAATGCGCCTCACCCCTTCCCTCTCTCCCGGCCAGGTGTTGCCACTCTGCCGCAACTTGCGCAAGCTTTGGCTTTTCGAGAATCACATCGGCGACGACGGCGTCGCTGCTCTCGCCAAGGCCGCGCTCGGCGGCGCGCTTTCGACGTTGGAGGACCTTCACTCTGTACGCAAATCCAGCCCCCACACCCCACCATCCCAATCCAGACTCTGGCCCCACAGGATCTCAAGCTCAAGGGGAACCGGATCGGCGACGACGGCGTGCAGGTCCTGGCGGCCGCCATGTGTGGAGACGGCGGCGAGGCTGGCAGCTTACCGAGCTTAAAGTTGCTCAACCTCTCGAGCAATCGAGTTGGTGACTTCGGGGCGAAGGCCTTGGCGAACGCGATGGCGAGCGGGGCAATGCCCAGCCTCGGCCTGCTCTACTTGGGCAGCAACCGCATCGGTGACGCGGGCCTTTGCGCGCTGGCATCGGCGTCGGCGTCCGCATCCGGCCTCGAGCAGCTCTACCTCGAGCACAACCAGATTGGTTGCACCGGGGTGACAGCTCTCGCTGACGCGGCAACAAAACTCGGCGCCACTTGCCGCGACAAGGCTCTTTCGCCCTGGGCCGACTCATGACTCACGATTCACCCTCAAAACAGGTGCCTTCGAACGCCTCGAGCACCTTGCGCTCGACCACAACAACATCGGCGACAACGGCGTCCGCGCCCTTGGCACAGCCGCGTGCGAGGGTGCGCTGCCCGCCTGCCGGGTAATCAGCCTGAACGGCAACCCGTTACTGAGCGAGGAGGCGCAGGAAAAGCTGCGCGGTCGAGGGGTGAGGACGTGACTCGTGAGAGATCGTGTTGTGTTCGCGAGATTCTGCGCGCAATTCGCATGTTCGTCTCTCTGGGGACTCTGCAACTGAAAATGTGTTTTTCACTTCTTACACAGTCTCGCTCCCAATACGTGCATCGCTTTTGTGACGGTGTCACAATTTTGATCAACCATATCTCGATAACTACCATGTCGACGCTCATGAAAGTAGGGGCGCAATGGATCGGGCGCCGGGCGCCCAGAATCGCCCACGCAGTTGATTGCGCCTACCGCTTTCATGAGCGTCGACATGGTAGTTATCGAGATATGGTTGATCAAAGTTGTGACACCGTCACAAAAGTGATGCACGTATTGGGAGCGAGACTGTACACAAGACTTGAAATATACACATCGACCCGTTTTTACACCGGGTCTTCGCTCGGCTTTATACTGTCTTATGGCTGTCAGCCATACTGTCTTATGTCAGCCATACTGTCAGCTGCCCCGCAGAAGCCGCTCGAGCTCCATGCGTGGCGAAGCGGCCTCGAGGTGGAGGGCCTGCAGCTTTGGGAACCCGTACACAATCTCGAGGTCGAGGTCCTGGCCACGCACGCGCACGCGCTGCCGGTTCGTCAGTTCGCGCCGGCTCTCGGTCGACGCCATCTGCACGCGCCGGCACGTCGTGACGAATCTGCGCTGCCAGCACTCCTGCCGGGGCATGGCCGCGTCGAGCGCGCGTCGCTGCTCGGGCCCGATGCTCGCTCCTGGCGCGCACTGCCACTGCCCGCGCCCCAAGCTGAGACACTCCTTGTGGTTGGCCTCGCCGCAGCGCAGCGAGAGGGGGCCCACGGCGCGCGCGGCGGCAGCGACGCCGTCGACGATCGAGTCGCTCGCCTGCCGCGGCAGAGGGCGGGTAGGAGGGGGAGCATGACGAGGGAGGACGAGGGCGAGCCTGGGGCCACGCGAGCCTGCAGCATCGGCCACACGAGGAGACCGTTGAGCTCTAGCACCGCCCTGCCCGTGCCATCGTCCACAATGGCCATCCCCCACGCCTCAAAACGCGCCTCGCTGCCCGCAACGGCGTCCACAGAGCAGCCGCAACGCCCCGCCTCCCGCACCTGCCCGCACGCGCAGCAGCGCCACCGAAAGGAGAAGGAGACGAGACGCACCACCGCCACGAGCAGCCGCACCGACGGCGGCACCTTGACCTGCAGCGAGAGCTGCTCGATCGTCCGCCCGCCGCCCGCGCCGGCCAGCGCCACCTCCTCCCCCTCTAGCCGCGGCTGGGCGGCGCGCACGTGGATGCCCGACTGCGGGCTGAGGGCGAGGTACCTCTTGCCCGCGCCATCGTTGGACCAGCGCAGCCTCGCCCGCGTGAGCAGCAAGCTGGCGCCCGGCAGCAGACCCGCAGGCAGCCGCACCTTAGAGAGGTCCGACAAGTAGGCCATCACGGCTTGCCGGCCGTCGAGCGAAGAGAGGGCGAACTGGACCGACGAGCTGCGCGCCTCGGCTCGGACCGAGAGGCTGAGCAGCACGCAGCGCACGTTGATGGCGCACCGCG